GCTTAGACCCAGGCCTTCAACACATTGGTTTAGAGTTCTAAATATGAAGAAATTGGGGCCTCAAGCAAGTGTGGATCTGTAGTAATAGAATTACAAAATCAGATGTATTGATATCTTTCCCAATAGGAAGCTAGCAAGAGGAGTGATAGACAACCTGTATAGGCAGGTCAAGACAATACAGAACCCAGGCGACAGGAAGAGAACATTACCACCATGATGAGGGAAGTGGAATGTTTGTTTAGGGAGGACAGCCTCTGGCCTGTTTAAAGAACATGGTGAAGAGGAAGCAGAGGTGCAAGCTCCATGGACTACTCAGGCATCAGCTCTTTCTTGTGCCACAAGAGAAGAGGCTTGAGCATTAGAAGTGGAGCCCAGTAAGCAGCATCCTGAAAGTGAAGAAGAAAGAAGTGAAGGAGGCCTAGGAGCCTGTGTAGGGTCTGATGACAGGCCAGCCAGCTTGCTTCCACCAGGCAGGCTGAGCCAGCTGCATCTAAGGCCATTGGTTATTAATCATTTGTCAGAGTCTTCAGGGCTTTATCAGATAATTGCAGTTATAAGTATGTTTATATCACACAAAAATGTGGCAGAGCAGTAAAGGATTAGAAACTAACATAATCTGCAATGACATTAAACAACAACCCCCCCCCCCCCAAAAAAAAAACCAATCTACACATAGTGATAAACCACAAAGCAAACACAATAAAACTGTACCATTTGCTGCTGCTTGGAGATTCTAGAACTGTTTCGGTATTGTTTATCTCCATAAACATTTAAAACCTTATGAAGCCTTCGACTTCATTCCTTCCTCTCCCTAAATTTCCAATAGGTCGTAAAATAGCAAGTTGCATCCCTATTCAGCAGGAAAGACTGACAGTCAACTCTATCCACACAAACACACAACCAGAATGCAATCACAGCTTATTTCATAAAATTCATTCCTGAACAAAAATATCGTCTACTGTTCTGAAGAATCTGCCCAAACATATAAATAGTTGTGCCTAAGGGACAGCTCTAAACCCACAAACCCATAGATGGCATTTTCAAATAAATGACCTGAGGCTGCAAACAGTATCCATTCTGCTCTGTTTGGCAGCATGAAAGTTTACATGCTAGGAAACATTTCTAACATGAATGAACGGTGAAATTGTCTACTCCTGCCCCACAATCCTCTAAATTGTATTAGATAATGTTAGCCATTTCTGCACCTTGTAAAAGCTGTCAGTGCCCCATGAAGTGGCATCTGCGGATTGGAAGGAAAGGGCCCCAGCATCTGAGATGCTGCCTAAATATTAGTTGGTGTATTAAGGAAAAATAATGGGAAATGCCACCCCCTGCCTAAGAATGCATTCGAAATGGCTCTGCACAAATCGAGACATGCCAGGGTATGTGATGAGGTGAACCATATACATTTCATTTCCTAGACTGTAATCTTCTCAGGAAAATGATTACCATTGCATCCCACCTCAATCCAATGTCAAGCACTGCCCTGAGAGTGTAAGTGAATGATTTCACTGTGAAGAAAACAAGCTATGAATATATTCAGTGTTTTAGCTATTTCCAACCTGGAGCCAACTTTCTATCACCTGAATCTGCTTGCTTTGTGGGCTGTATATTATTATCTCTAATATTAATCCCCCACACACAAAATGAAGAGAGCAATTATGTTTTAGAAATGAAAATCTTTCTAGAACAAAATGTAAATGAAAGACCCTGAGGACACTGACTTCTATTACATTAATGAAGCTTATTGAAAGTTGACTCTAAATCCCTATGTATGTGCATATGAGTATATGCAATTTAAAAGTCTTAGGTTCATAGATACTTGGAGTGGTTACAGCATTTCACTGGAGTTAATATGGTCATTTGTCACAGGGCCACATCCTGCTGTGCTCTTAGTGGGCATAGATACACATGTTTTCTGTCTCTGCTATGATGCCCTTGCTGTGATTATGATCACACTAATGCCTGCTTTTTAGGTACTGCTTAGACTCTCCCTAGACAGAACTTCCCATCTAGGATTCAGGTTAGATGTTCTTTTATCCAAGAGGTGCGCAATTAGAGACAGCTTCTCATATCTTTTCATATTAGTTATCTGTACTTCTAATTTTAAAGTCCTATATTTTGAGATGTAAAGTAGGGGGTATTATTTATCAGAAACACAATAAATGCAAATCTGAACCATAATGCTAGCCACCAATTGAAATTAAATCACATGTATCACATGAATCAATCCATCCCACTTTAAATGACAATAATGCTAATCTAAAAAATTTACCATCCTCTATGTTTATGGTTCAATAATGCCTTTCTGTCAGCTCTCCAGGCTGCAGAATTTATGAGTCAGCAGGGTTTTTGAAGGTATATAATAATCTTCTAGGAAACTGTGGATTACCTGATAGCAAATGGGGTTGAAAACAACTTTTGTTCTTTATAGTTTTTTCCTTTAAATTTTACTATGAAGAAATTTAAAGTAGTTTTTCCTAAGTGAATGAATGCTTGGTTGCAGAGAAAGTGTCTATTCTGTTGGTGAACTTCTTTTCGTATTCTATCTTTTGAAATCAACCTGGAAAAGGGATAGTCAGAGTTACATACTGTCCCATCAAAATGTCAATCATTCATCCAGTGTTTATGACTCTTTTTCTTCAGCTTAGTGAAAGAAAAACAAATCATGTAACCCTTCATAGTGGGAATGAGTCTCATGGAAGTCAGAACCTAATCTCAGATGGCATGTAGCTCTCATTTTTTCTTTTACACATGAGGGGTTTGTATTATGATGTGAAATTTGGAAAGGGTAAAAGACTTGCCTGAGATAATTTACAAGGTTAGTGGGTAAATGATGACTTCTTTTGAAGTCAATGCTCTACTTTCTAGGATATCTTACTCCCATTATTACTTGTTCAAACTACAAATTCTCAAGTTCTTATAATTAGGATTAAAGTTGGATTACCAGCTTTTTTGCATATAGAAAAGGAACTTATCAGGCAAGGTTGTTAAGTGACACCACCTATCTGTCTGTCTATGAATGAATATGAAAATGTCTTTTTATAAGCACTGAAATTCTACTCTCAAATTTAAACTCATCATTTGTGATAGTGATAACTCTTCAAAGTTCATATCAGGTGCATGGACTAGGAACACAAGGATGAGTACTAATTTCTACTCATGTCATAAATATTCTCAGCTCTAATAAAAGTTCTGTAAGCCATGTAGATGGTTTCCCAGGAGCCTTGTTAGTACTCTTCCATGGCTCACTATTCCTTGTGTACTGGACCAGAAGTGGATTCTTGGTCCACTCACTCTCAGCCAATCACCTTGAAAGTAGAAACCAGAAAGTAGCCTTGTAGTGGTGGCACACGCCTTTAGTCCCAGCACTCAGCAGGGGAGGATCTCTGTGAGTTCGAGGCTAGCCTAGGCTACAGAGTGAATTCCAGGAAAGGTACAAAGCTACACAGAGAAACCCTGTCTTGAAAAACCAAACCAACCAAACAACCAAACAAATAAACAAAAACAAACAACCCTTCCAAACCTAGACAGTAGAAATTGAGATTCAGATATAGTTTGTTAGCCTCCTTTTGTAGACTGAAATGTAATATATAAACTCAAGAGTTATCAGACGGCCATATTTGGAATGAGACATAGAGAGAGCTTGTGTTTAGAGAGAAGAATGGAGCAGAAAGGAGGCTGCAAGCAGGGATAGAGAAGGGACCCTGCCTGTCTTTCTCTTCTAGTATGCAACATGGTATTCTAATTGAACAATGCATCCTGCTTCTCTCTCTCCCTTCCCAGCTCTCTCAACACTAGCAAAATTGTCTTTGCTGCAAGTCACCATGGGAGTAACTCAAACATGATGTAACATACCATGCTCTGGACCCAGAGTGTGCTCTCCTTGATATCAGTCTACTTCACAGGGCAACTCACAAACGGATCAGACATGCATTTCTGTCAATGGAGATGGAGTCAATGGAGCTCAAGATTGGCTTCCAATAACCCCCTATGCATAACAAACAGTAATGAAGGAATGATTTATCTGAATAAATTAGCTTCCATAAGTATGCATGAGAGAGCAGTAGTATTATAATACTTTATGCCCTTTTTGGTTTGTTCTTTTGAGGCATGATCTTAATCTGTAGCCCAGGCTAGTCCGGAACTTACCATGTAGTCCAGACTGCCCTCAAACTTGCAGTGACCCTCCTGGCTTAGCCTCTCCAGAACTGGCTATTTTATGGGTTTTTAAAGCTCAAATTCAGACTGTTTATTCCTAATCAGCCCAAAATTATGTTAACATGTGACTCAGGTAACAATAGTATATTTGAAGTATCACATATTTTGAGATTACAAAATTATGAATTTATGAAAAAAGTGAATTGTCATTTGAACTTGAATAAGACATCTTGATAAATTTAAAGGCATATAAAATACTCATTCTCCATATGCCCTAGACATCAAATATCTATAAAATGGCATATTTATAAAAATCACGAGTACGTTACTGCTCAGAAAGAGTTTGCCATGTGCTAACAACTATGCTAAGAATTTTTCATCTATTTTTTGAACTTCCTCAAAATATCATGAATAATTGTTGTGCCTGAATTGCATTAGATGACTTGCTTGAAACCCTGCAGCCAGGTATTCGAACACAGGTAGATTGTTATCACTACCACAGTTTGAATAAGAAAAGTAGATGAAGTAAAATATCAAAAGAAATGAAGTCTGGCTGGACATTGGCACCGGCAGGTGGATCTCTGTGAGTTCAAGGCCAGCCTGATCTACACAGCAAGTTTCAGGACAGCTATTTCATGTTGAGACTTTGTTTGAGACCAAGCCAAGCAACCCCTAAGCAAACACAACACAACACAACACAACAACAACAACAACAACAACAACAACAACAAAAACCAACAAAGTTTTGGCAGATAAATTTTATATAACCAAGAATAACATACAACCTTCCAAGTAAAAAGTTTTACATCAAAACCATGTAGGTTATTGATGACTCTTACCGAGGATTTGATGGAGAAGGTGGATTCATTTCTTTCTGATAGTGACGGCCCTGGTTGACAGGCTGTAAGAGAAAAAGCATCTGTGAGGTAGGCACCAGCCGGCACAGGGCACACTGTCGCACTAATTCTCACTTCGATATTTTGATATCAACAATTCTCATTTTTGATATCTCATTTTTGATATTCCATTTATAGCAAAGGGCTGGCTTTGCTTCACAGCACAGGCAAAGGCCCTGAGAGACTCAGCATACCACAGGGTGAAATAAACAGTAAAATGCAGGCTATTTTAATAGCCTGTGATAAGGTTCAATAGCATCTATGATGGAAATAAAGGTCACATATTAGAGTTCTTCCTGTGGAGTTTTTATACTGTTGTTATTTCTAGAGACAGCAAAAGAAAACAAAATTTTCTCAAATTTCCTCCCACAATAAACCTTTCATTATTATTTGAAATACAACTAAAAACAAACAAACAAGAACAAAGCAGAGAAAAAAAAAAAAAACGCCAGAAAAAATCTAATGCCGGTAATGAAACTTGACCTTTCCTCTTTGGCCTATAAAGGGGGAAAAGTGTATTGTAAACTCCATTTTGAACATAATTCTAAATTATGTGGCTAATAATGATGAAAAACTATTTTATTTTGGCATTCTTGTTTTATTACAAGTTGGAATTTGCCATACATTTTGTTAACTGAATTCAGAATGTTACTTCTGTTCCCAGAGAGGTTGATGTTAAGGCGTTCTTACTCACAGTGAATTTGGCCTCACAGTGCTGACCCACAGCCAAGGCTAGCAGTGTGGCTGTACATAAAGAGACTACCTTCCTTATTCTCCACATAGTTCTTATTTTAAGGGGTCCTAAAAGATTAATTACACAGGTGATGGAAATTCATAAGCATAAACTCTCTTGCAAGTATTCCTTTGATTTGTATCAAACACCCTGTGTGATGATCACATCACCTAGCCTGGCCACCTGTGATGCACTGTGAATTTCAGTGCACCCAGACTGATGGATCACCATTTCAGTAACAAGAAGCAACAGCTGAGAGAACAGTGGAAAGAAAGGATGTCATAAGCCATATTTGATCTCACCAGAGAAATCAAACTTCCAGCAATTTGCAAGTGAAATTTAGTTGATGATTTAGGCTTTATTATTTCATAGCAAGAGAAATTAGCAAGCAAAAGGCCTAACGAGTTCCTTCTCTGGATCAACTCACGCTGGTATAGAAAATAATTCCCAATAATAAATTCATTGGTATTCACTCAGTAGTTCAGCAGCACCAAGGCTGCCAGTGAATAGACTTCTGCTTATTTATTTTCACACACATTTCCAAAACTTTCTGAGCACCGCAGTTCTGATATTCAGGCAAATATCCACCCCTGAATTTTACAATCATTAATTCCAAGCCCTTACTCCAGATGCTATCTTTCCTTCCTTGGAAGTGCCTACTGTGTTTGTGATGCAGCTCTGTGAATGATGAGGGCTTGCCCCTTTCTATCTTTGCATAATATTTAGATAATGTTTAATAGATTCAGTGATACAAGGGGGAAGAGCACTGCCAATAACAATTCATAAGTGTTTGAAAACATTCAGCAGAAGCTTTTCAGAGCAGTAAAAACTGGTGACATGAAGACATGGGAGGGTCAGTGGCTGTCTGAAGGCAAATGTCACCAAATGGATTTTATGGGGTTTAAGTCTCACTATCCCACATTCAGTATCTTGCATTTGAGAAACAGAAGAAGCAACAAGGTCACTCATTCCTGACCTTTACCTGACTCCTTACTTCTCAGGCAGCTAATAAAACCTAGGCAGGACTTTGTGATCTGCCCTTGAACCAAGTCATCACATCCTATATGTGACTGGAAAACCCTCATTTCTGAAGATGCAAGAACACAGGGAAGAGGCCTTGCTAAGTTCTCCCAGTATATTTCCAATAGATCCTATCACCTTTATTTCTCCATGAGAAATCATATTTCTCTATGAGTTTCCACTCTGTCAAATCTAGCACGACAATATGCATTTAATCATTTTTCTTAGAAAATACATGTTTAACTGTTTCTTTGAGTCTTCATTTATTTTTGAGGGTTCTTGTTTCATTAAAACCTTATATAGAATGAATTTGCATGCTTTTCTTTAATCTGTCTTCTGATATAGATCCTTAGCCATGAATCTAGGTGGGTAGTGAAGAAGACATTTTCCCTCCCTACCATGTTTCTCTACATATGCAACAATAAATTTATTTTTGGTAGGTAACATCCTGTGACAGTACCTGTGACAGAAAATAAAATTAAGGTTTGATTTTAGAACCCATCCTTTTCTGTAGAATACTGTAAGTAGATTCAAAAGACCATTACTGATGCCTACGAGTAACTACAACAATACCAATGATGGCAGCAACTTACCAGTGTCTACAAATAGCCACAACAGCAACAGCAGTGACTTATATTTACTGTGCATTTACTCCATGCTAATTCTTGAGAGAGATTATCTCATTTGAGCCCCACAGGAAGCCTGTGAACTATATATAATTAACTCCATTTGTTAGAAGAGGACATTCAGACACTAGTCATGCCTGCCAGCACACAGTGGAGCCAGACTCTGCACCCATTCAGTGAGATTCCACAGCTTTCAATATCAACACTAGCTTGTTTGTATTATTTAATGCAGCTTGGGAATTCACACAGAATGTGGAATACAATGTTCTGAATAACAACATGGCAGGGTCCATTCAGTATATGGCATGAAAAAAACCCGGAGTCCCATGATACATTTTTTTCTGGAGTATATGAGACTGTCCAATTATTATAAATTAAATTCACTTGATTTGACTCTCAGGGCATGTCACTATATTTTTAAAATTAAAGACAGTTTTTACCACACTGCTAAACTTGGAACTGTTATAGGATATAAAAGACAACAAGCACTCTGAGAATAATGTTTATATTGTGAGGTGACTTTCGCAGTCATTAGCCACCACACATTTTTATATTTTTCTTCTGACAGCACAGAAATCACTGTGACTCTAATCAGTTTTCATGTATCATTTCTATAGTTTTATAAGATTTTTATCTACAGCTTAGCATGGCCAATCCCTACCTTCCTAGTTTACCAGGACAACAAACCCAGCATTTCTCAAAGAGCTGAGGAACTAATGGGTCTGTAGATTAGAAGATATTAGGACCTATTAGGGATGAAACACTTACAATGCCAGTTTTGTATGCACAGCAGCCTGAAATCATGTAAAACACAGACAGGCTCCTGGCAGATGCATGAAAAAGTCTGGCAATGGCAGACTTTGTCCTTTTGGGGGTGCTGTTGCTATGCCTAGTGCCAGGAAAGAGGTGCTTATAAAATCACCACCACCCAGAGGCTTTGACTTCCTATGATCAATTTGCTGGAAGGTAAGGGAGAGCAGGGAAGGCTAAATAAAAGAACAAGAGATAAGATAATCCTGATATGTTGAGAGGTACAGACAATATCTTTATGTTGTTATGTAAAATTTATTCAAAATGGCAATAATATTGCAAGGTTAATCAAGGCCATAAATAACTTGTCTGAGAACCTCACCATATGCTTGGGATTCTATTAAGTGAATTTTGCCTCATTTTCTCCAATATTATGTTTTGCAATATGCCACGTTGATGGATGCATAAGATGAGCATTTAAATCCTCCTCGCCCCTTTTCTCCAAGCTGGGAAGGCTTATATATTATATTAGGTTATGGTATGATGATTTTTAATTTGAAGGAATAATAGCTCTGAAGCATCTATTCAGAGAACAGCATGCATATTAGGTGTGCTTTTCTTGACTCTAGGTTCATGGAGGGACAGAAATAAAGTTCTAAAAAAGGAAACCACCAAAGACTGTCAGCAACAGTCTGTGGGTGGCGGGCAGTGTGGACACCAGTGTGCAAGCACAACCAAACGAGCACAGAGTATCTTGCTGGCGCACCTGCATGGTCCTGGCCCACCTGTATAGCTCTAGTAGCCATGGAAAGGGGAAGTGCCCTAGAAACTTGAAGAAATACCCCTGAGAGGAGCAGGTTCCAGTCTTGGGAACTTGGCTCATTTGCTGGCAGACGGCAATATGGGAAAACGTTCGGTGAATCCATTTTACAATGCCAGTAAATGACAAATGTGGGATTTGGGCCCAGGACAGCTTTATATTCTTTTGGGTATCATATGAAACTATATTCATGTGTGCATGCACGTGAGCACACCCACACTCCAGGAAGGGAACGTTTTCATGCTACTGCCAATCAAAACCAGAAACACATTCACTCAAAATTCATTGTAACCAAGTCTTAGTTCCCTTCCCAAGGTTGCACAGAACCCAGTTTTGGAACAAATCTCATGAGGGTTACTCCTTTCAGAATGCCTCCAAAATCAATTACTTATAGCCAGGTTTCCATAGAAGTAGTATTGTTTTAATTGAATTTGGGTTCACGTTAGAAACTTTGAAAAATTTATCTGTCAAAGGCCAATGGATTTCTCAGTAGCCTTGATTTATTTAGCTTAAGAAGCCTACAAAAGCCAATTTGGGAAGAGAATATAGCTACATTTAATTACACTTTAAATGACTAATTTATTACATCTAAATACCCTTTAAACAGTACATACTGCTCAGAACTGATGCTGGAGAATCAGAGCTTGTGGAAACACAATAGCTGTCGCTAAAGACTTCACTGTACTCCGTGTCTCCTCTCTAGCTTCACACGCAGCATCTGTGAAACCCTCCCATCAGCACAGGTACTGGATGTGGCCTCACTAAATCTCCTGTGCCCACAATTGCTCATAAAGCCTTGCTCAGAGGGACAGCTTCTCAAGGTGTATACTGAATGTTTAGTATCAATATTTAACACAGAATATTGCATGTGCCACTCAAGACTTACTTAAGTAAAACAAAGCTGATGTGTACTTTGGAGCTGATGAAAACCAGTTTACTTGAGAGTCAAAGGGAATTATTTAGTGTGTATGTTACTGATTGGTTCATTTAATCAACGAATGACAACCAGCAGTGCTGCCTCATGCCAGGTTGTCTTTATGGGCCTTATATGCAGGACTGAGCACACTGGTGACAATGGTTATTGAATGCTGCTAAGTGCTATAGATGAACCTATTGAAAATGCAGGAGGCTGAATGTATGTGAGGAGAGAGACATTTACTTGATATTTCTGTAACTTCTAGTTTTGCAGTGAATTGTAAAACACTTTAAAAATAAATTCTTTAGGGGCTGGCTCAGCAGGTAAAAGTGCTTGCCATGAGCCTGATAACTTGGTTTTGATCCCTTTGACTGTCATGGTGGAAAAATACTAATTCTCCCAAGCTGCCATCCAACCTCCACACCTGTGCCATGGTGCGTACCCTTCACAAATGAATTAATGTAAAATAATTCTTTGATAAAAAGTTAGCCAATATGTAAGCAAAGTTGGTAACAGAAACAACCAAACGCAAACAAATAAAACCAACAGCAAGTGGGCGTATCTCAAAGGGAGGAGTGCTACGAAGAGCACTGGCAGGGAGCAGGGGCAGGGCCTCCCCGTGATGGCCAGGTGACATGTCGTGGCTGCAGCAGTGTGTCATTCTTCTGTGCATATGCTGGGTGGGATGGGCTAGGGAGGAATGGTGTGAGCTGAAGGAGAGGCAGAGGCCTGAAGAAAAGGGTGTCTTGCCTAAGGAGGGCTCTAGACTCACCTCCACAGACGTGTCTACTCCTTTTTGCAGTCTGAAATTCTTTCTTACCTTTTGTCTATGTGTAAATGAATAAGCGTTCTCGAACTTTCACTTAACCAATGCCTCGTCTGAAAGCACATCTGGTACTTAGAAGCTAAATTAATTGCTCCTCCTACATCATCCCAAAGATTTTTGTTTTATCGCCCCTCACCATCCTGAATCACAGAGCCTTGTCTCTGTGAACATCTTAAGATGAGGACAAATTTTGTTCCCAACACCCATCCCACTTCCTAACACATTGTTATTAAAAAATGTGCAGAATAAATGAATGTGACAGAAATGAGCAAGTTTGGGCTAGGAGTTAGGTATTCTGGTTCTAGGGCATAAGGTAAGCCTTTACAGTGAGGCCTAGAGTAGAATCTCAGAAAGTTCTGAAGCTGTCTGAGGGATAATCTGGTGCAAGGTACACAGACATTCCCACAGTGCAGCTAGGGAACTACAAATGGTTTGGAAGTATGGAGTGAGGGGTGGAGAGAAGCTGGATGGGGGCACTTCTCAGAGTGCAGGGGTCCTCTGTGCCGGACTCGAGGCCACAGGGAACCACTGAACAGCTTTACACAGGGAAGAGAGCAGAGCTTGCCTGGGCTTTACAAAGGTCTAGTGTGAAAAATGAGAACTAAATTTAAAAAAAAGATTTACTTTGTTTATGTGTGTATGTCTGTGGGTATATGCTCGCTCTCTCTCTCTCTCTCTCTCTCTCTCTCTCTCTCTCTCTGTGTGTGTGTGTGTGTGTGTATTAAGACCAGAAGAAGGCATTAGATACACGAGAGCTGAGGTTACAGGTGGCTGTGAGCTGCCTGATATGGGTGCAGGGAACAGAATCTTGGCCCTCTGCAAGAGCAGTGAGTGAGTGTTCTTAACACCTGAGTCATCTCTGAAGACCAAGGTTTTTACTAAGTGCTTACTATGTTTCAAATTCAGCACCAGTTGCTTTACAAGGTTAACAGGCTGGCTTTGATTCTCCACACTAGGACTTCAGAACCAATGCTCCTAACCCACAGCCTGTGGTACTTGGGTCAGAGGTAAGAAGATGATGAGGTACTGCTGAAGAAATTCAAATGAGTAACACTATGCCAAGTCTGTGGTGTTAGGCAGTGGGGATTAAGAAGCAAAGAGGTGGAGAGATGGGTCATCAGTTAAGAATACTTGGTGCTCTTGCAGAGGATTTGGGTTGGGTTCTCAGCACTCACATTGTGATTTACACCATTCATAACTCCAGTTCCAGTGGATCGGGCATCCTCTTTTGACCTTTGAGGGCACCAGGAATGCACATGGTGAGCATCCATATATGCAGGCCAAACACTAATAATACACATGAAATAAAATAGATAAATCTAAAAATCTTAACTAGAAAAAGAAACAAATAGAAGAGCCTTAGGATGTGAAGTGAAGAACAGTATGGATACAGGAGAATGAAAATGTGGGAGAAGGGGCAATGTCTTCCAATATTCTGGCTAGAGGGCCACTGGAGGGTAGCACCATTCACCAAGACAAAATTGGGGCAGCATCCTGTGGTGACACCAGGAGCCTTTCATTTTGTTTCTCACCATCTCCGCACCTTTTCTGAGGAGAAAGTGTGAGCGCTCAGAGAGGCTGAAACAATACTTGTAAATTGCTCTATTTAAACTCCACATGAGCAGAAGGATGCAGATTTCATTACGGAATGCAATTTCCCATTTGTTGATAGTTCCAATATTGGAGCAAACTGAATTTGATGAAATAATAAACATATCCTATGAATACTAAAGGTAGGATTTTCAAATTTTTCTGTCTCTAAAAAATAGACTTTTCAATTTCTCATTTGGCTGAATAGAGGGGTTATTAAGTTCATTACTAATGGTGTTATTTTTGGCCGTGTGCTTTTACAGCAGAGTACTTGTCATGCAGGAGACTTCAGTTCTTGCCAGAACAGGACAGTGATGAGAACCTGGTATCCAGGGCAACCAAGAGTTCAGACTTCTCAGTCCATAAATAATCATTCCTCAGCTTGCCCTCTGTACTGCTGGTCTCCGAGCCACTTCCTGACAAAATGAGCTCCACCTGGAGGCCACTGTTCTCTTTCGAACTGGGGCTTAAATGGCTGCTGAGGAATATTCTATAAGAAAGGCACTGCTTTGCTTCTGTCTGCACCCGATCCTTACGATGTTTCATTTGGTGTGAGGATGCTCTGTGGCCAAAGTCACAGGGACATAGGTATTTTTCTGGGTGGTAGATAATGTCCAGCACCAAGGCTGTTTGAAGAGTTATATGTATCCATGTCTAATGAAACCACAAACTAAGCAAGAGAAAGCTGGAGGTGGAGGGGAGGGAGATAATAGGCACTAAGTGAACACTGGTGGTGATTTTCCCCCTTGCATCTCCTAGGAGTCTACTAGATTTCACCTTCCATGATGACTTGCATGTTCTCTCTAGAGCGCAGGAGCCTCGTCCTCCATTGGATGTCTGTAGCACCTATGTGACAAACAACTCATATAGCAGGAGTTACCAGGGAAACAGACAGAGCCTCAGTGTTCTCACTGGGAAGTGGAAACACTAATGCCAGCTGGAAAGACTCAGGTGACACATGTGACCATGCGATGGAGGGACTGCTGAAAGATTGAAGGCCTACAAAGATGTTAGAGACTTGGAAAACCTGGTTTTAAGATAAAAGCAGATCGCAAAACGAATATCTGTTAAATATATAAAACTTATGTCTACCACATTTGAAGTTAGTATTTATGTAGGTTTAAAGCATAATTTAAAAACTTTAAAGATTTATTAATTTTTATTTTATGTGCTTGGATTTTTTTTGTCTGGATGTTTGTATGTGTACCACATGTGTGTCTGGTGCCTGTGCAGGCCGGAAGAGGTCACAGAATTCCCTGGAACTGTAGTTACAGACGGCTGTGAGCCACCATATTGGTGCTAGAAACCAAACCCAGGTCCTCTACAAGAGCAGTGAGTATCTTTAAATGATCAGCTGCTTCTCCATCCCCGACTTTAAGTTTTTATTGTTTTCAGATGGCACCTAAGGAAGCAGGCAAGAGATGGTCAGGAGCTTATGCAGAACTCAGAGACAGTATCTTGTTATTCTAGTTGGGATTGTAGACCATCTATATGATGAAGAGTCAGCTTTATTAAAGTGTATCAGTGCTGGAGATGGATGCCAGGATGCTACACATGCTAGGCAAGGACTCAACCACTGTGCTACATTCCTAGCTCTATATAGCTATGTATGAGCTTGAGTCAAAGTTATTTTAGGTTTCATTCTCTGCTAGGCCATGGCGAGGGAGATGGCTATACTAATGTGTTTTAACATGTAAACACATGTGGACATATACCTTTAAAAAAGGTATCTGTAGCTCCTATCATGGCCCCTCAAACACAGAGGAGTCAGTAAACATCTAGTGACTTCTACAGAAGGCTCTTTTCTGTCCTCGTAGGTGAACAGTATTTAGCAATGTCTATAGTCTTTTCCCTTTTGTTCATTCATTTAATAAGTATTTCATTGAAAATATTAAGTATCTTTTATGTGGCAAAAGGCTTGTGCTAGGAGCAGGAACTGTCAGAGCCCTGCATGATTTCATGTACTGCTGTGATTTGAGGATCCCTTGCCTCCAAAGTTCATATATCAGAAACTTAATTGCCTACATGAAGGAGAAGAGAGGTGGGATATTTAAGAGGTGGTTAGAGTGCAAAGACTTTGCGTTCATGAATGAATTAATCCCATTATTGTGGGAGTGAGTTTGTGATGAAAAGATTTATTGATCCCCTTTTCACTAGTTTGCTTCCCACTCCCCATCTCCACCCCATTCTCCCCGATATCATGGGATGATGCACAAGGAAGATCTTTGCTAAATGTAGGTCCTTTGACCCTGGACATTCCAGACTTTAGAACTAAGCAAAACAGGTATTTGTGTTTATAAATGACTTGGTTCGCATCTATTTTGAGAACAAAAGAGAACTAAGACAATCAATCATCATACACACATCTCCAAGGGTGTATAAGAGAGTGTAAGACAACTCTATTACCAGTCTCTCCCTTAAAAGACTATCTCAGAATGAGCTCTGCATGCTTCTCATGGTGGGTGCCTCATTTGGACTCTACTTTCCTTGGATAAGGCTGGGATTTGTTAGAAATGGGCTTGCTCCTTTTGAAGGCAAGGGAGTAGATGGAAGGTACAGGACTCACAGGTGGCAGACAAGAGTTCCATGTGGTTGTGTCATCACTGCTGGTACTGATGCTAACATTACAGTTGTCCACCTGGGATGCACTCAGGCCATGAGGAGCCCCAGTGTCTTCCAGGTCTTCATTCTGCTGCCGACGGAGGCTTGCTAGCATTTGCAGCTCACATTCGCTCATCTGGCTGGGCTGGTAGTTCCTCCAGTTGTATTCCTGACCAAGAGACAGAGGTATGACAATGAGTCACCTGATTTCAATTTTATGGGTTACCAACAAGTGTGACTGTAGCCCTACCTGCAATGGTTCCCCTCTGATGGAGACCCAAATGCTCTGCACACCTTCATGAGAGGTTACCCTCCCTATCCAATCCAATATTTCTGCAAACTGCCTTCATGAAGAACCTCAAAAGCCTCAAACTTGCGTCTGCCTTAGTTCCCCTTTCACGCTAGTTCCCTCTGGCTGCCCATCTGGCTAACTGATGCCACTCTTCCTTGGGGAGGCCTTTCCTGACAATGACAAATGGGGACACATCCTCTATTATGTATTAGATAATTTAAAAGTCTTGACTTTTAGCATTTGTTCCAATTATAGTTGTCTAACTAACTGCCCTTGCAACTGACTAGTTAGCCATGAGCTGCACAGGTCATCGCCATAACTGCCTGATTCTGGCTGGAGTCCCTTGGTGAAGATGTAAAGATGCTTAACTGCAGGGCCCAAACCCACAGCAGTTTTTTTTTGTTTTTGTTTTTGTTTTTGTTTTTTGGGACAGGGTTTCTCCGTGTAGTTTGGTTGCCTGCCCTGCATCTTGCTCTGTAGACCAGGCTGGCCTCGAACTCACAGAGATCTGCCTGGCTCTGCATCCTGAGTGCTGGGATTAAAGGCATGCACCACCACTGCCCGGCTCCAAAGCAGTTTTTAATTAGATGGAATTTATCTGTTTACTGCTGAGGCTTTTTGGAAAAAGGTTTCCCCACAGCCCAGGATGGCCTTGAAGTCACAGTAATTCTCCTATTTCAGCCTCTTGAGTGCTGAGGGTTCAGGTGTGAGTCATCACAGCCAACCTAAAAGGAGCTTTGAAAAGAAAAACACCCTTTCCAGACAAATGCCCGGCTTATAAGGTAATGAACAAATTTCAGCAGCATTGATGACTAATGCCAAATATATTCAAATTACAGATATATGGAAGATAATGAATGCAAGGTGGGAAAAATGTAAAGTCTGAAATCCAGAAAGGCCTCACATCTATCTTCTTGATGCAGAACAGAGAGTAGATGGAATCAAGACTATTATTGTAAGTTTCCAGATGCTAATACAAATAAATATTATTTCTTCTTTAATTTTTAAAAATTGCATTTTTAGGAGTGACCTACTTGCCCATAGAACTGCCTCACTCCCTAGATTCAGTTCCCAAACACTCATCGCCTCCTCTACCCCCATGTGTCTACCTCCAACTTTGGCTAATGTCCACTGCTCAGGCCCAGGCCACACCAGTCAGAAGAACAGGTGAGTGACTTGCCTGCCAGCAGAACTGCCCCACTCCCTAGATTCTATTCCCAAAGACCCATTCCACTGTCCCCTCTCTGGCCCCACTGCCATCCCCTCCTGCTCTGTGCCTCCAGCCTCAACTTGGGTGGACTTCTGCTGCCCAGGTGCAGGCCAAGTAGGTCAGAAAAAACAGATAGGAGAGACTCCCTGCTGGACCAGAGATCACATTGGTCTCCAGAACCGTAGGTAGGTGGCCCGCCAGTGGATTTCCTCTACTCCCCAGAACCTTCCTTATAACCATGTCCCATTCCCCAGTTCATGCAGAGACCCCTTTGTTGCACCAAAGGCTAAGCTAGTATAGCTGCCAGAAGTCCAGTCCCAGCTGGACAGACTCCCTGCTGGATCGGAGGTCATGCCAGCTCACAAAATCCCAGACCACAGAATCAAAGGAGAAACAGAAACTAAGGAACAAAATGCCTATCTAACATAGACAAACTCAGAAATCAGCATCTAGACCTATAATCATCCCAAACCCAGATGCCTAGATGCCAGTGTAAGAACACAATCAACAACAGCCAGGGTAATATGGCACCACCCAAGCCCAGCTATCCTATGCCAGCAAGACCTGAACATTCCAACACAGCTGAAGTCCAAAAAATGACCTTAAAACCAACTTTATGAAGATGACAGTTGTCCTTAAAGAGGAATTGAAGAACTCCCTTAAGGAAATTGAAGAAAAGACAAACAAAAATTTGGAGGAAATCAATAAATCTCTTAAAGAATACCAAGAAAGTCAAGAAAGAAAAAACAAAACAAAACAAAGAAACAGTTGAAGGAAACTGTTCAAAACCTGAAAATGGAAATAGAAGCAATAAAGAAAACACAAACTGAGGGAATTCTGGAAACAGAAAATCTAGGTTAGTGAACAGGAACTACAGATGCAAGAATCACCAACAGAATATACATGATGGAAGAGAGAATCTCAGGCACTGAAGATACGATAGAAGAAATAGATTTATCAGTCAAAGAAAATATTAAATCTAAAATATTTCTAACATATAACATCCATGAAATCTGGGACACCATGAAAAGACCAAATCTAAGAATAACAGGAACAGAAGTAGACAAATCTCAACTCAAAAGAACCAGAAAATATTTTTAATAAAAATCATAGAAGAAAATTTTCCTAACCCAAAGAAGATGCCTATAAAGGTACAAGAAGCTTACAGAACACCAAAATAGATTGGACCGAAAAAGAAAGTTGCTTTGCCACACAATGATCAAAACTCTAAACACATAGAACAAAGAAAGAATATTAAAATCTGCTGTGGGATGTTCTGTATGACAAATAAATTGCTCTGATTGGTTAGTAAATAAAACACTGATTGGCCAGTAGTCAGGCAGGAGGAAGTATAGGCGGGACAAGGAGGAGAAGAATTCTGGGAAGTGGAAGGCTGAGTGAGAGACACTGCCAGCTGCCACCATGACAAGCCGCATGTGAAGATGCTGGTAAGCCATGAGCCATGTGGCAAGGTATAGATTTATGGAAATGGATTAATTCAAGATATAAGAACAGTTAGCAAGAAGCCTGCCATGGCCATACAATTTGTAAGCAATATAAGTCTCTGTGTTTACTTGGTTGGGTCTGAGCGGCTGTGGGACTGGCAGGTGAGAGAGATTTGTCCTGACTGTGGGCCAGGCAGGAAAACTCTAGCTACAAAAATCTGCAAAGGAAAAAGGCCAAGTAACATACAAAGGTAGACTTATTAGAATTACACCCAACTTCTCAATGGAGACTCTAAAAGACAGAAGGACCTGGACAGATATCCTGCAGACTCTAAGAGACCACAGATGCCAGTCTAGACCACTATACCCAGTAAACTTTCAATTACCGTAGATGGAGAAAACAAAATATGCCATAATAAAGTCAAATATAAATAATATCTACCCACAAATCCTATAGAAGATGCTAGAAGGAAAACTCCAACCCAAGGAGGTTAACTACACCCACAAAAACACAGGCAATAAATTTTTTCAAACCAACAAAACTGAAGGAAGAGAATCTGTTCTCTCTCTCTCTCTCTCTCTCTCTCTCTCTCTCTCTCTCTCTCTCTCT